TACAGCAAGGCTGCTGCCTCCTCCTTCCAAATCCCTTCTCTCCCTTTGGATCACGGGCATCAGAGAAAGCCTATGCTTAGAGCCACAAAAGGATTAGTAAAGCGGCTAAAAAATGACTGATTTCAGTGCTCAGCAAGGTCTGCAGACCCTCTGCACAAACAGATCTCCCTCTTACAAGGGCCCTTCTCAACAGCCCTGTGCTCACTGCTAAAGCCTCCATCACTGCTGGCGAGGAGCCTCCGAGGACAGGGAAATCCAAAACCCTGTAACAAGACCACATCTACTCCAGGTAGCTTGAAAAATATTAAAAAGTAAATTTTTAAATTTAAAATTTAAATAAAGCTCAAATTGCATTGAGCAGAAGACACATCACTGAGGAACGACAAAGCCGAGATCTCAGCACAGCCCCACGTGTATTTTCACAGGGAGAGCCACCAGCCTGTAAAAAGCAATTTTAATGCATGATGCAGACAGATTATCAGCAGCCAGGGCGATGCTGGACACCACCAGTGTTATTGAAACAATGCACTATTTGAACAGATCATTTAAGATAACACTGAACACGTAATTAAGGGCTGTGGAGTCAAGGTGATGCACACTCTCACTGCTTTGCTATGTTTGTGCATGGTGCTCTAATGCATCTTACAGGGATGGGGAGGGAATTTGATGGTACCAGGTGGTTCAGGACACAGAGTATGTTAAAAATGAAAGCGGAATGAATCAATGCAATATAATAAAATAAAATGAGATACCCCAGCCAAGGAATCTGTACTCTCAACCACGGGAACTTGTTATTGCTCGTGTGGACTCATTGAAGTGCATTCCTCTCACCTTCCTTAAAACTCAGTTTTTCCAAATCCACTAACCCCAGCCAGCACAACCCATTTACTTGCTTCCATGCACATTGCTCAGGCTGTATCCAGCTTTTCTAGCAAAGAAAGTCTCTAATCTGAACATTTTCTTATAGCTGAGTCTATTGAGAGCAGCGGCACTGGTGATCCTGACGGGAACAGGGACTGCAGCTCTGCAGAGCTCCACGTTTCATAACACAGCCCTGCAAAGACCAACTCTGCTCCAACCCACTGCAGGGCATGAGAATAAAGCACTAAACTCGGGTATTGCCAACACCTGAATGACGCAAGTCTTGCACTGCTGGTGTCCGTGTCCAACAGGACGGAAAATTTGAAAATAAATTCCAGTTTTCATTTCAAAACACAAAGCTGTTTCTGCCTCCTTTTTCCTCAATCCCCATGACTACCAAGAAAAAGCTTAAAAAGGTTTAGTAGATGCACCCTAAAGGCTCAAAAACCTGGGGAAGAATAAGAAAAACCTGTTTGTCCTTTAAAAAGAGTCTCATGACTTATAAGGTGGTATCTTGCTCATGGGGATGGGTGGATCCGATTTGGTTTTTTGATAGCCCGCATTTGGCAGTAATGTTAACTTTTACTTACCTTGACGAGCAATTTTAATTTTTACTTTCCTACTGCAATCGCCTTCTTCCCCATGCAACAGGTTCTGCCAGTGACAGGTGATTGCCAAATCTCTCTTTTTTCCTAGGGGGAAATGCCAGCAGTTGTTTATTTATTTGCACTCAGAGTGGGTGGGAAGAGCTGCACACAATTTACTTCCACAGAGAAAAAAGTACCGAGGCCGTGCAATTTGGAAATGCCTCCTTTTCTTTTGCTGCAGAAATGAGAGGAGATACTGGAAAGTATGGGAATATGGGGCTTCTTGCTGAGAAAATATCCAGAATTACACATCGTTTATTGTGGGATAAGTTCTTCACCCAATTCATAGGGCTTCTCACACAACCTCAGTGACCTACTCTTTATCTCAGCACTGCAAAATGATAACTGCTTGCTAACAGCATGGTTTCCAAGAAGGTTTTACTGCACCATGAGCATGCATGCGAGAAACTGTTCAATTTAGACTACTGAGGTTTTTGTTTTTAAACACTGCAGTAGAGTCCCAATTGTTAAAGACTTTCCTTCTGAAAAGGCTGATTAACCTGCATATATTCTTGTGTTCTCAGGTCATTAATTAAAAAAAAATAATCAGGGATGCTTATAAAGTCCTCTGCAATCCAATCTCAATTTGTCATCATTAATTAGCTCAACATTGCATACAAATAAATGAAGAGCTAACCTGATTAGACAGCATGTTTGACTGGAATTCCTACTTCAGGTCACGAAAGACTTCAGAGAGAAAATTTATGAAGATTTTCAAAGCGAACTGCTCATGCATATGAAATCACCCTCTCACCTAGCAGTAGCTAGTGTTTCTCTGCTAATTTTGGCCATTTTTTTTCCCCTCATTTTTTTTTTACCCTTTAATTAGGGGCCCATCACAAACCAGAGCAAAGCAGCAGTCCTGATGTTACACTACCCTATACAAATATGGCTGGTCCAGCCCGCTGTCCTAGGACAAGAAACCTGCCCTGTAGAAAGAGCCTGCAGGACTTGAAGGGAAAATAAAAATCTTAAAAAAATAAAGGTTTTCGAAATAAAATATGATTCCAGGTGGGTCAGCCTGGCTCACACACCCCCAAACAGGGGAAAGTGCAATAGAATGGATTTCCTTACTTAGCACTGCTGCCCTGGGGAACATCAAGAGGTCGGGGGAAAAAAGAACGAAGAAACAAGGCTTTCAAGTTTTGGACTCTTAATAAGGGTGGGGCCATCAAGTAATTAAACTTTTAATAGGTCACTGCAGTGGAAGAAACCCTTCCAGTTGGGTAAGTTCCTAATCCATCATTAAAAAAAAGATGACAGACATTAATCAAAGCACACAGTCACATGGGGGTGGAGGGGAGGGATGAGCAACTCGGAGAACTCGGAGAGGATGGGGCAATCGCTCCTTTCATCAGCATTTCACGCGCGTTTCCACATTTCTCAGGCCAGCAGCAGGAAAGGGAGCCTTCACGTCCTTCCCCGCCCACCCCACCGATAAAGCTGTCCAACACCTATTCCCAACCGCACCGGGGCCCATGTGAAACGAGTTGGTGGATTAATTAGCAGAAGGGCAGAGCTCCCGAGATTGAAAGATGCTCTGCTGTAAAAAGGTTTATTGATGGAAGGTGCCCAGCCACTGCCACAGGGCTGTCCTCATCCATGGGGAACATCCAGCATGAGAAACCTCGACTGCTTGCAGGGGCACCAAACTGTGCTCCCCTACGATCAGAGCGCGGTTTGGGACCCCCTTCCTTTAGGGAAATACAGATTTATTCCCTAGACAGACTGCAGCAGGTCCAAGGAGCACATCTGCATCTGCTGGCAGCGTGGTCCACATCAAGGCCAAAAAATAAATAGGAGGGGAAGGTAAATGTGCCTGCCCCCAGGTCTGCACACATTCGGTGATTGCACTCACTCAGGAGCAATTTGATTTATTTTTTTAAAGCCAGCATGTAAGCTGATCTTTGACTACTACCCAGGTCCACATTAAAACTCAGCCTCTCCACTCCTGCCCCAGAAAGCCACTGTCACTGCAGTCAGACACCTCAAGTGCTTGCTTAACTTTAAGCTCGCAGGTAGCTCATGTGTCTTCAGTTCTGCTGGAGCAGCCGACTACAGATGCTCAAACCCCCTTTCAAAAGGCCGCTTTTCCCAGTTGAAAGGACAGCATCAAACACTCTGGTTCCCCACAGCTGCCCTAGGTAATTCTTTGTACTACAGTTATCAAAAGAGAGCATCTTTTCACATCTCCTTCAAAGGGCCCCCTGCAAAAATCCTAGGGCAGTGTTTTCTTGCTTGGAGAAATGGAAAGTGGAACTGACCTACAGTTTCCTTTAAATTGAGTGAAAAGAAAGTGTGAGTAGCATACAAGGAGAAACCTGGGCATGGAAACAAGCAGGAGCTACAGCAGGGCATCACTTCCAATGCAGATCTGGGAAGAGCGCAGTTTCAACCTCACTTAAAACTCCTTCACCCTTTTATGCATCAACAAATGAAAGATTCAGTCTTGAGCAGACCCATCACATTTTAACCCCATGAAACAATTTCCTTAAAGTTATTACAACCAGTTTTAAACAAATTTTACTGGAAAAGACTTTTAAAATATAAAGGACGCAAGCTTACAGTGGTTTACTGTTATCTGGCATCTTTTTCCAGAGTGGAGCACACTGCTTTGCTCCCAGCAGTGGCTGGGAGCTTGTTAGTTGCAATTCCTAAATTTGAGATTGAAGCAGTTCCTCAGATTAAAAAATGAAAAGAAACACTATTTTAACGCTCTTAGCTTTTGGTAAAGAGTATTTTTTAAAAAGTTAAAAAAGATTTGAGTCTCTACTTTTATTCAGGTAGCGTGATGTAGGGCATTACTCACTACACCCACTCCAAACGCCTGAAGGAGAGGAAAGCAAATATTGAACATCTTCAAGACAGCAATATTCTCCAAACATCTCTACTGTAAGCCCCAAACCACAACAGGACACAGCTCTAGCAGTACTATGTCCTGGGCTGCAAAGCTTCTATAGCTGAAGAATCAAGCTAGCTCCACCAAAAACCATGAGCTGGGCTTCAAGTTCCAAGCTCGAAACGTTTATAAGTAAGGTATTCTTCTGAGAGCAAAAGCAAAAAGCCTTGAAGTTATGTGTCAGAGCAAGGGGCACCACCTCTGTCCCGCTGGCACAGCCCCGTGTGACAAACTTCACGAAACCCCATGGATGCTGAAGCCACGCTTACGCCCACCTCGCGTTTTACTCCAGCACAACCTGCAGACCCAAATGGAGAGCTGCTGTTTCATCACGTGTAGTCTTTGGGCAACTGTCTCTTTGCAAGGCATTTTATTCACCTGGGATTTAGTGATATTACCGAGGGTTAAATTCCCACCACACCCTCCCAGAGCAGCCAAGAGAAACCTCTCCCTTCTGTGTGACATGGCATGCACTGCAGAGGACACGGGTCACTCTGTTCTTGCACAAGCCTGGGTATGCATCATATGAACAGTGTCACCACGGGCACTGCGACCAACGCCAGCAAAGGAGCAAAGCGATGCTGTGTCCTTACCGTCCACGTCGCCGATTTTGCTGTGCTGGACTGCTGAAATGATACGTCGAAGCTGTGAGGTCCTGGGTAGTCTGTGTTGGAAGGGATGGCCGGGGAGGGCGAGAGGGCGTCAAACGTGGAGCTGGGCTGGGCGTAAGGCGAGGGGGCCGTGACGCTGTTCTGCGCGTGCTCCGCGTTGTAGGGGCTGGTGGAGGAAGAGCCGTTCTGGATCTGCTGGTCCATGCTGTTCAGGAGCCCCAGGTTCGTGTACTGCGGCTGCAGGGAAGGAGATGCACAGGGGTGTTACAGAAACAGTGATGGCACAGGCTGGCAGAGCAAGACACGTCTTACACTGGTGACTGGAAGAGATGTAAAGCTTCTCGCAGCCATGCAGTGGATCAAGCTGGGAAGAGAGTTTGCACATAAGCAGGAGGTGATTTACCAAGGAGGCGATTTGCAGGGCAGCAGCCATCATAGGGCAACAGCTCCCTGTGTCCAGCAACAGCCAAGGTGAAGCCTTTTTGGAGGGGCTGCTATAACCTGGTAAAAATCACCATGTTCATTACAGCACAGCTGGGTCCAGTTTGTATAAGGCAACGCAGTCTGACAGTCTTGTCCTTGACCCAAAGACATCCTGCTACACCTGGTGACATTCAGGACCTCTAACTCAGGTAGTGACTGCTCAGAAATGCAACTTACTGGGGGAAAAGGTTCATAGCACTTCACCAGGCTGCACCATGCACTCAATTCCAGCGACCAATCACAGACTTAAAGTAGAATTAAAAGGTGCCATCAAGCAGCATGGAGGGCTTCCCCAAATACTCCAGAAGCAGCAGTTGCACAGTGAGAGCAGACCTGGTTGCCGCCTCCAGGTACAAACAACACATGAAACAACTGAAGACGTCAGAAATACAGGCTAGAGAATGGAGTATGGAAAGACAAGTGTTAGATTAGGGAGTGGTTAGCAGAAAAATCATATGCCTAATGCTTTAAATTCTATGTGCAGGTCTGGTCCTCCACCTCAGAGAGATGAGAGGGGACAAAAGTCAGAGGAAGGTGACAAGAATGAGCCATCCCTTTCACTGCCTTCCCATAACACAGCAGTGGGTGACAACTTCTCACCTTGGAAATAAAAGCAAGGAGACAGGTGGATCACAGCATTACAGATGTGGATAAATTCCTAAACTATACGGAAAAAGCCAAAGAAGAAGTGAATTTTCATGCTTTTTTAAACAGAGTTTAAGAGTTGGGGAGCAAGAAAATTTTAAACAGGATTTTGGTTTACAAAGACACACACACACACATGCAGGGTGGTTCTTCACACAGCACACAAATAAACGCGGATTTTCTGTCATGCAATGCTGTGGATACTAAGACCAGATGATCCTGGTGGTCCCTTCCAACCTGGTATTCTATGGTTCTATGAGTCTAAGTTCTTCTGGAGAAAAACTCATCAAGGCAGAGAATCTGATTTTAAACATCAGCATCCAAAAGGTTTGTGGTACCAAGCCCAGCAGCTCTGCAATGACCCAGGAATGGGCAGCGATGAGCACACTGACACAGCAGAGGGGAACAGGGCTCTTCCCCTTGCCCAGAGATCCCAGTGCCTCACGTTCCTCCACATCCTACAGCTTCAATCCCACCCAGAGCCACCAATTTCACCTATCCCTCAGTATTTCAGCCAGTCTGCTCCCAACTTCCCTCACCTTTCCAACAGCTGCTGCTTGTATTACCGACTTACATCAATTTATTTAACAACATTATTAACAACTCTGTATTATCAGCTAAGCTGCGCAGGTTCCTGTGGTCAGAGTGCCAACAGCAGGACCCATAACAAAAAGCTTTCCCAATATTGGGTATCCCACCAGCCCTACCGAAATTTCGAGCAGCACATCATCGCTCCTCCAAAGACCTGGAAGAGGATGGCACAAGCTATGTGTCAACAAGCCATTTAACACCCAGGGGACTTCATTTTGGGAGCGGGGATGGTTCCTGGAGCTGATTGCCTCCCTGGCCATGCCAGGAACACGCCATGTCCTTGGGCAAGCCGCCTTCCCCCTCCACCCTCAGCCTTCTGCAGGGCAGGGATTGCTCCTTGCTATGTAAAAAGCCTCTGCTTAATGGGCCTCTTTTGTCTGAGGCCTTCAGGCAGGAGAGTAATAACAGCAATTACATATTGAGTCCTAATCCCGGGTGAACCAGCGGCTCTGTGTTGCCTCAGGTTAGTCCTTCCCTGCCTCAGTTTCCCCATCTGTAGCAGCAGGGATGTAAGAGCTACCCAGTGCCCCTGTGAGACAGATCTGCAATTGGACTCAAAGCATGTTGAGTAGTCAACGCCAGAGAAAGCAACCCGGACTGGTTCTTCTTCTGCAAAAGGAGATGGCAGCTTTGGCGATGCAGATGACAGCGATGTCTCACCTCCTGCGGGTTATTCAGCCAACCAAGACCAATTTAACGGACTTCAGTACATGTCTTCCCTTGAGGCTAATTTCCATGTTAAAAGAGCCAGAATGCTGACGTCCTGCACCACGAACAGTCTTTTTCTTACTTAATAATTTTGTATTTAATAAAAAAAACCCAACCTCCCTGCCTTCCTGCCCCACAACACCCTAGTAAGACCTGGAGACCTCTCAAAAAATGTCTGAGTATCACTCAGTCGTTTCATTTCTCATGTAGATTAGCATCAGACACACTCCCTAACCGGCAGAATGATGAAAAGACGGCCGTGATGAAGACAGCCTCCAAAACAGCTCAGACACAGACAGCAAAACAACAAGGCTTCAGCTTTCACTTAAAACCTATTCCTCTAATCCCAGGCTACTTAAGATGATGGAGAAAGATCACCAAACGGGCAGTCAGTGTTAACAAGACAGCGCAGTCTGGAAGAGCTGAACATGCCGCCTGGAGGTCAATTTAAATAAAAATATATAAAAATTTAAGATATCCTTAAGAGAACCAAGGATCCTTTTCATTCTTTTCAGTCCAGGGACCATCTGTCTAAACGTTACCAGCGGAGCAGCCATTCCACCGCATTTATCCACTCGCATGCCACAGCCGAATGCCATGTCCCCATTTGCTCTTTAAATAACTATTAATCTCCTCGCACTTAGCCCCGCGCTGACACAAGCAGCTGCTGGACCCCCTTCTCCCCCTCCATGTCCCACCAGGCTGTCACCTTCCCTGGCCCCTTGGTCCACCCATCCCACCCCTGGTGGCAAAACCAGCACTAAACCTCTTCACGCACACACGAGCGCCAAACCTCGTCTCAAAGCTACGCCCTGAGGTTCGGTGAGAGCTGTTTGTGCTCAAGGGGTCAACATCTGAATGGCTTGGAGGCAGCAGATAAGGCTTTGGGAGGCAGACGCCTTCCGACAGCACCGCAGTTCGAGGGGCAGCAGGCCTGGGGAAGGCGCACACAGGAATTCACAATAAAACTCCTCGGCCCTGGCCATGCTAAGGGGTGGGGAGAACAAAGAGAGCCCTCCCAGAGGGGTCTGCAGAGCGCGTTTGCAGTTTTGGGAGTTTCTCAGTTTGAGAAAATAAAGGAAAAGTTACCGCCTTTGGGCGTAGATTACCCAGATGCCACCACCCCTATCAAAACCTGTCTCCACATCTCTAATGAAGCACGCATCTGTCATGCATTTGAACTGATAAAATTTCAGTTTCCACTGCTGGATCCACACAGCAAAAGAGCATTGTCCAGCTACTCCCTTTCCCATTGACAGAAAGAAAGGTGACGGTGTTTAATTCAGTAATCAGTTCTTGCCAAGTATCCCAGATTTCAGCACATGCTCCCGTTTTGCTGCAGGATTCAGGCAGCTGCAGGATGTGCAGCCCTGCCACCAGTTCCCGGCAGAAGGAGAACGGTATTTGGTGGAAAGAAGAGAAATGCATTTGAAGGTGAAAGAATTTCAGTGCCTTTGTTCTCTATTTTGTCCCCTCCATCAAGTTTCTGAAGCATATTAATATCACTGAGGCATTACAAGAACCTTTAGGTGAGTTTAACTGCAAATCATCAGCTACAATTAGATCTTCACTGTGGATTTTAGAACACAGTTTCGATAATACATCTTGAAATATCCTTTCGCTTCCTATATACCATCAGCTTTGCTTTCAAGTTTTCATGCTAACTCATGCTTCTCGATGAGGAGAGCCACGGTTTCACTGGAGAGGCAGCTGAATTAAAAACCAGACCGAAAACTGCAGTTATTTAACGATGGTTCTGCTGTAGGGAGGGAGATGAAGCAGAAAAACCTCCTGAGCCCAGCGGCTCCGTGGCACCTGCCACAAGAGGGCAATGCAAAATGCTCCACGGTGCACAGCAAAGCTGATGTGCCTGGGAAGGTTCCCCAAATATCCAAACTGGGGCTCTCCTGCAGCTAAAACCCACCCCCGGGTCTTCATCCACAGCCGGATTTAAAGGCCGTTGTGTTAGTTGGTAAGGTGTGAGAGAGCTGCAAAGAGAGGCCCAGTGTGAAGGCATGAGGGAAGTAACACAAGTAAAGGACAGCTCTCATGGGGACTTCCATGCCAAAATCCCCTAAGATACACAGCCCCAGCTAACGAGGACACTGTTATCAACCTTGCAGGTTTGAGAGTTTCTCCACTTGAAAAAAATAACGAAAAAGCTCTCATTTTCAGGTGAAGAATACCCAGATGCCTCCACCTCTACCAAAACCCTTCTCCGTATCTCCAGAGGAACACACAACCATCACACACATGGACTGATAAAGTTTGAGTTTTCACCACTGGACCTATGCTGCAAAAGATCATTATACAAAAAGCCTTTCAAAGCACCACCACTGCTGCTTCTTTCACACTAGAGATGATGAACCTTGTTTTTCAAACTTTCCTAGCAAAGGATTTTTGCAGGGTGGAAGTAAAGCACTTAAGCTCCACGTAAGTGCTTCTCTCTTAGTTGTTAATCAAGATATTGCTGACTGCAAGGCTGCACAGCTTTGCTGGCTGCTCGGAAGGCAGCTGATACAACACCCGATGTAGGCGCCCCGCTTCTGCCATTTCAAATGGGTGCCAAGAAATGAAGGGCTCCACCCATGCCCCTCAGCTAAGATCAGGGCTGAAGCCCAAAGAGATCTCCAGCTCACTCATCACAAGGAAAGGTGTGATTTGGTTTGCATCTCCAGCCTCTTTTCTCATCAAAAAAAGACTGAAAATCTCCTTGATGCATCAGACTCCCCACCCAGCTCATGCACATCAGGACCGTGCTCCTTTCGGGAGGAGCGAGCTCCTTTTGGACATCGCTCAGGTGCCCTCCA